CTGGAGTTCCTTGCCATACTTCTTTATCAGTCTGGTGATGGAGAGAACGATCTCATATGACACCATCTCGTTGGCACACCACATCGCCTGGGGGTTAAAGGTCAGGAGTTGGTTAGAGGTCATAGATAAAACTCCTCTAACGCACCTTTAAATCCTGAATCTTTCCTCACTCCCTCCCCCTCCCATCCTCTCTCTCTCTCTCTCTCTCTCCCCTTCATTCCTCCCCTCCTTCATACCTTATAGAATGATGGGAGGACCAGGGTAGGGGTGTTTTTTAGGGCGGGAAGACGGTGCGCCCCCCATAGAGCCATCCCTACGAAGAACACTGCTCCTCTCAGCAACGGAGAATCCTCCATATACGCCCTGACAGAGAGAGAGGAGAGGTTAGACACACACACGGTCAGTGGCTTCCTCAACTTACAGAGCCGTCGTAGAAACAGATAAAACAATAGAGGGTGGATGAATCACACACACACACACACACACACACACACACACACACACACACACACACACACACACACACACACACACACACACACACACACACACACACACACACACACACACACACACACACACACACACACCTACACCCAGAGGGTTTGTTACCTCTCCTCCATGATACGGCACATGGTGTATATGGCACTATGGCCCAGATGGGTCCCCAACACCTTCCTCATCAACTGGAGAGAGGAGAGGAGAGGAGAGGAGAGGAGAGGAGAGGAGAGGAGAGGAGAGGAGAGGAGAGGAGAGGAGAGGAGAGGAGAGGAGAGGAGAGGAGAGGAGAGGAGAGGAGAGGAGAGGAGAGGAGAGGAGAGGAGAGGAGAGGAGAGGAGTAATATTATTATTTTGTATCATTTCAAATGGTTAGAAGTTATTATTATTATTATTATTATTATTAACGTTTAGCCAGATTAATTAACATGATAAGTAAATAATTAGACACACTCCCTTACACACTCTCACACACACATTGCTCACCTTCCAGCAGGACTCACAGAACTCCTTGACGTTAACGGTGCGACAGAGAGTGATGATGAAGACAGTGAGGGAGTCAGAGGGGAGGCAGTTATAACACACCACCGCATCCAACACCTGTAGAGCCACCTGGACACACACAGAGAGGACAGACACACAGAGGACACACACACAGAGAGGACAGACACACACAGAGGACAGACACACAGAGAGGACAGACACACAGAGAGGACAGACACACAGAGAGGACAGACACACAGAGAGGACAGACACACAGAGAGGACAGACACACAGAGAGGACAGACACACAGAGGACAGACACACAGAGAGGACAGACACACACAGAGGACAGACACACAGAGAGGACAGACACACAGAGAGGACAGACACAGAGAGGACAGACACAGAGAGGACAGACACACAGAGAGGACAGACACACAGAGAGGACAGACACACAGAGAGGACAGACACAGAGAGGACAGACACAGAGAGGACAGACACACAGAGAGGACAGACACAGAGAGGACAGACACAGAGAGGACAGACACACAGAAGACAGACACACACAGAAGACAGACACACACAGAAGACAGACACACACAGAAGACAGACACACACAGAAGACAGACACACACAAAAGACAGACACACAAAGGACACACACACACAGAAGACAGACACACACAGAAGACAGACACACACAGAAGACAGACACACACAGAAGACAGACACACACAGAAGACAGACACACACAGAAGACAGACACACAGAGAGGACAGACACACAGAGAGGACAGACACACAGAGAGGACAGACACACAGAGAGGACAGACACACACAGAAGACAGACACACACAGAAGACAGACACACACAGAAGGCAGACACACACAGAAGACAGACACACACAGAAGACAGACACACACAGAAGACAGACACAGAGAGGACAGACACACAGAAGACAGACACACAAAGGACACACACACACAGAAGACAGACACACAGAAGACAGACACACACAGAAGACAGACACACACAGAAGACAGACACACACAGAAGACAGACACACACAGAAGACAGACACACACAGAAGACAGACACACAAAGGACACACACACACAGAAGACAGACACACACAGAGGACAGACACACACAGAGGACAGACACACAAGGGTTAATGATCTTATTAATAAAAAGCCCAGAGCTATAAAACCTGGATATCAGAGTAAATTAAATATTACCTCTATGTCTGTAGAAGCTGTTGTCCGGTTACACAGCAGACAGATCTTCCTGTTGGACAAAACCAGACACACACACTGAGACCTAGTGTGTGTGTGTGTGTGTGTGTGTGTGTGTGTGTGTGTGTTTAACTAATCAGAAGACCCCACAAGAATATTAAACAAACAAAAATTTGACCAACTGGGGACATTTTGTTGGTCCCCATAAGGTCAAATGCTATTTCTAGGGAGTTTAGGGTTATGGTTAGAATTAGTGTTAGGGTTAGAATTAGGTTTAGGGTTAGAATTAGGCACTAGGGTTAGGTTTAGTGTTTGGTTTTCAGGTTACGGTTAGGGTAAGGGTTAGGGAAAATAGGATTTTGAATGGGACTGAATTGTGTATCCCCACAAGGTTAGTTGTACAATACTGTGTGGTGTGTGTGTGTGTGATATTATGTATTTTATACAGGATTAGTTCATGTTTGAAATATTGAGAGCTGCATAAAGATTTGGAGGATGAGGACATTCCATGTATTTATTTCTGTCACTGGTGGCTGCCAGAAGGTATGCGGGCCAAGATAGCTGGGGGGCCACTGGTGCTAATCTTAGGAGGAGTACGTGATGGAATATCCTGACTAGGGTGCAACACAATACCATATAGGGTGATCCTATTCTGGTGAGGAGTGACACTCAATAATGGTTGGCAACTGTTGGATAGAATTAGCTTGCAAACAAGTATATAAGCTAAGAGATTTCCTTTGTTCAGGGAGTTCAGATAGCAATGGGCCACCCACGTGCCGTTTGCTATGTGAACCCGGTACCGCGATATTAAATACTTTGAATCAACTCTCCATGTAAGTGTTTAAGTATCTTCTTGCATAGTGAATTACTTGATGTCAGAGAAAGTCATCATAACAGTGTGTGTGTTCTTACTGGGCCATGATGGATACGTTCTGGTCCAGGTAGCAGCTGTTGAACTTCACCAGGTTGACCAGGACTTGGAGGAAGTCAGCGGTCAGACCAATGTCCATCCACAGCAGGACAAACCCAGCTGCAGGGGATCAATCAGAACATCAATCAATTGATCAATATATCTAGCAATCTATCCCCCTATCAATATATTTAGTGTTAGACCAATGTCCATTTCCAGCAGACAAACCCAGCTGCAGGTGAAAAAAATCATACTGGACCCCTGTGGGAATCGAACCCACAACCCTGGCATTGCAAACGCCATGCTCTACCAACTGAGCTACATCCCTGCCGGCCATTCCCTCCCCTACCCTGGACGACGCTGGGCCAATTGTGCACCGCCCCATGGGTCTCCCGGTCGCGGCCGGCTACGACAGAGCCTGGATTAGAACCAGGATCTCTAGTGGCACAGCTAGAACTGCGATGCAGTGCCTTAGACCACTGCGCCACTCGGGAGCCCAATCAGTCAATATCTTTAACAATTAGTCAATATCTTTACCAATCAGTCAATATCTTTACCAATCAGTCAATATCTTTAACAATTAGTCAATATCTTTACCAATCAGTCAATATCTTTACCAATCAGTCAATATCTTTACCAATCAGTCAATATCTTTACCAATCAGTCAATATCTTTACCAAATCAGTCAATATCTTTACCAATCAGTCAATATCTTTAACAATTAGTCAATATCTTTAACAATTAGTCAATATCTTTACCAATCAGTCAATATCTTTAACAATTAGTCAATATCTTTACCAATCAGTCAATATCTTTACCAATCAGTCAATATCTTTACCAATCAGTCAATATCTTTACCAAATCAGTCAATATCTTTACCAAATCAGTCAATATCTTTACCAATCAGTCAATATCTTTACCAATCAGTCAATATCTTTACCAATCAGTCAATATCTTTACCCATCAGTCAATATCTTTACCAATCAGTCAATATCTTTCTAAGGGTCCCAGTTGGGCAAGTTAATATCTGGTGGACTGACTCCGTAACATAAATGGTATTGTAACGTCTGTCAAAAGACTGGGATGGAACGATCTATATCACATGTCAATGTGCAAAAATAATTGATGTTGGAAGGAAGGTGTGTCTCTCACCTATGTCCTCCTCCAGGTAAGTGATATCCTTCCCGTTCTCCGTCAGGGCCTTGAACACCTCCAGCCTGTCAGACAGGTCCTCATTGGACGGCTGGTAGTCTCTGATCACCTTGAAGAAGTAGGCCCGCAGTGGACCCAGACGCTCACCCTGATAGACACACAGAGAGAGAGGGAGGCAACATACACAGGAAATCAACATACTTGCTTGTTCCCTGAAGTTATCTGTGGTGCCTGCTTTAGTATGAGTGAGTGAGTGAGTGAGTGTGTCCCAGTGTGTGTGTGTGTGTGTGTATACCTGTCCCTGAATGATAGCTCTGAGGAGCAGCAGGACAGCATGTCTAGCTTCAGGGGGCTGTTCTGGAGTCAGCATGTCCTCCACCGCCTTCCATACTGCTTCCACCGCATGCTGTAAAACACACACACACATACATTAACATACACACAGATTAATACACACCCGATTAACAGCAACAAAACCGACGTGTGCGCAACTATGGTGCGAAACAGACAGGGTTGGCTTAGATTGTTGACAACATATTTAGTCTCCAAATGTTTATTGAAACCATAAATAAATTTGCACAGTGAGCACTTGTCTCTCAAATACATTGTTACAGTTGTTGGTTAGCTAGCTAGTGGGTTTTAACCAGTATTAGCTTAGACGTGTCATCAGTCAAAACACCTCAAAACAAGACATGGTATCAAGAACCAGATACAACTAGATGAAATGAGCCACATACGATTCCCCACATGGCAGCTTCTTTCATTGTTGCTATGTGGCCCTGCAGAATCACAACAACACACAGACTTCTGCCCCATTGAAGTTGCGCATCGTTTTCGTGACATTGTTAGCTAACCCGTCTACACACACACACACACCTCCATGGCGTGCTACAAAACCAGACCACACCCGCAGCCTTCCATTCTCTATCTCACCTCCTCAAACTTCTTGGCCTTGGCCAGGTCACAGACATGGTTAGCAACCCGGATTCTGTTGCTAAGGCCACAGTCAGGGTGCAGCTCCTGAAGAGAAAGACAGTGAGATGGTCAGTGACAGAAAACTGATTGTGTGTGTATGTACAGTTAGTATGTGGAGTGTGTGTGTGTGTGTGGCGTGTATGTGTGTGTGGAGTGTGTGTGTATGTGTGTGGAGTGTGTGTGTGTATATGTGTGTGTGAATGTGTGTGTGTATGTGTGTGGTGTATGAGTATGCGTGTGGAGTGTGTGTGTGTATGAGTGTGGAGTGTGTGTGTGTGTATGTGTATGGAGTGTGTGTGTGTATGTACAGTATGTATGTGGAGTGTGTGTGTAGTGTGTGTGTGTGTGTGTATGTGTGGGTGTGTGTGTGTGTCTGTGTGTGTGTGTGTACTGTATGTGTGTGGAGTGTGTGTGTGTGTGTGGAGTGTGTGTGTATGTGTGTGTGTGGAGTGTGTGTGTATGAGTGTGTGTATGTGGAGTGTGTGTGTGTGTGTGCATGTACAGTATGTATGTGGAGTGTGTGTGTGTAGCATCATACTCTTCCATACCTTGAGTATATCTAGTGTGATGATGAACTCTGAGGGCTTGCTCTCTGTCTGTTTGCTGGGGGGTCGAGGGGTTCCCAGACCAAATATCCCCTTCACCTTGTCCTTCAGACTCTCTTTACTGGGCTGCTTGTTCATGGCTGGGGGTCGAGGGGGGGGGAACCTGTGGGGGTGGAGGGAAGAGGAGGGGACCAGTCAGCTTACACTGGCACTACTGGGGCTCTGGTGGAAACAGAGGGGTGAATACAGGTTAGTAAGGTAGAGAGATAACCTGGCAGATGTAACCTAGACTCCATCAGAGTTGTGGGTTGTCGTTTCCTTACATTCCTACCATGGATAGTATTGGGTGTTCCATTATTCGACTGCTCAATGGGAACTTTGTGTTATTTTAAATAGCCATGGGGTAGTCTTGGTGTCTCGGAACAGTTGGTTATCAATGTACAGTTTATAGAATACGTTTCCTTACATCCTACCCTCTCGCCTCCTTTTAACCACAAGGTTCCTTCTCCAATGATTAAAAAAAAAAAATTTAATCAGAAATAAATTTCAATTCAATGTGTTTTGAGTGCAAGGAATCAATGAAAGATCAATTGAGAGAGCCCTGGCCTAACTTTTTGTCCTTTTGCATTATGTGACTGGTGTTAGTTTCTGTCAACCAGATAAATGATAGGCAGAGACATGCCTCAACATCACACCCCTTCTAGACATCCTTTTTTTCTTTGCACCTGTGGTTATCCAGACATTAGTGCACGTCTGGGCTGCGCGCACACCACATGCATGCATAGATAGCACCTCGGACAGCAAACACTTGCCCAAGAAGCATTCCATTCCTCTGCACATTCTAAATGGCCTTTGATATGATATCCATAACGTTGTTGTTGTTGTTACCTAAAGCGAATAATAACCGCTTGTAAAGAAAGTAGCTAGGAGGACTGTTGTGGTCACCGGAAAGTGGTAGTTTGTGTGTCCGTGCTAATATAGGATACGTCCCAAATGACACCCTATTCTCTATGTAGTGCCCTACATTTGATCAGGGTCAAAAGTACTGCACTAGATAGTGAATAGGGTGCAATTTGGGACGTCACTAGGCTATACTTCAGTAGCTAGTTAGTAGTACCTACAACCTCGGGATCAGGGACAATCAGCTATTGAGTTCTAGCGGGGGAGAGAGAGTGTGTACCACGAAACAAGCCAGGTGAATGTCGCAAGTACTCTCCCTGTCAAGCAGAGAGAGAACCGAGTAAACAACGACAGCTAGTTCTGTTTTAGATTGAACAACCGTACTCGGTCAGGGGCCCATTCGTGCACATTCAACATCTTGTTCCGAGCAAATAAACAACACCTGTGAGCAGCTGACAAAATAACGGACAGGGAGAGAGAAAGAGCGACACAAACAAGCACTAATAAATAAATAAAGATTGTTGACTAACGTTAGCTATCTGCTTACTTGCATTCTAGACCTAGGGCTTTAAAAACAACGGAAACTCATACCTTCTATTGATCTAGATGCGTTTCTGGCGTCATTCACGTTTTGCTGTCAGGTAGACAAACTACCGAGCAAGTCAAATTCATGCATTTAGAATTGTAATCCTAATTTTTCAAAAGCTTGTCCCAACTCAGATCAATCCCCCCACTCGACAACCGGATGGACTGTCGGGCACTTCCTACGAAAACACGTATGTCGTAGGGGCCGATGGGAAATGTAGTTCCTGATAAAAGCATTGCGCAAGAAGACAAGTGTTGTTGAGTTCAAGTGTTACATGTGTCTAGTGTTCTAGCGTGCATGTCGTTTGAAAATGAAATCGTCAACCAGAGTAGGTCATGTTTCAATATCCATCAAAAGTACTTGGAAAATGTTATCAGAACTTGTATAAATGTGTTAACTGGCTAACCAGATTATCACTAACGTTACAGTTAGCAAGCTAGCTAACAAGCTAATGTTGTTAGCCACGGTCCGGCCCACTTGCAGCACAACGGTAGCCTCGTATGCTTTCCACTGTTTCAAAATGACCTCGCCTTATTTCGTTCAGAGTAGCGCGGTCATAACTCGGAGCGGTAACAAGACCGTGCCCCGTGCGGGTTTAGCCACTAGGATGGAGAGGAGAGTGCCGAGCGCTGCTGCTTCGAGGACGCACGTGAAACAGGAGGAAGAGTCGAGCATCTCAAATCAGAGTTTGGGACGAGACGCCTCAGGTATGAATATGATGGTTAAAATCAGTTTTATTATCACAATGTTGCCCTTCTGACATCTTGCTGCATCATTGAGGGGCTTTCAGATGGGACAAGATGTATCATAAAACAACAACTAAGAGATAACCTGTATTTCCTCACCACTCAGCTTTTGTGCTCCCTACGTTACCTTGCAGGTATTGGCTCCTCAGGGTTCCATCGCCCATCCATCGGCCAATCAAAAGCTGAGCCAGATGAAGCCCCGCCCCTGCTACCCCTGGCACCCATCCAGCGTAGGAGGAGGGGCCAGGTGAAGGTGGAATACGATGGGAAGGTGGAGCCTAAACACTGGGAGCCTCCTGATTGGCGCAAGCAGCTGGGTCACGTGCGTCAGATGAGGAGCGCCAGGGACGCGCCCGTTGACCTCATGGGGGCGGAGAAATGCTACGACGCACACGCCCCTGCTGAGGTGGGTGGGAGACCCCACTGGTCTCTGTCTCTCTGTCGTACACCCCCCACTACCGCTTTCCCCACCCCCCCAGCTAGCCCTCTGTCCTACCACCCTACATCCAGCCAATGCTAACCTTTACCCCTACCTCCATCTCTGTTGTTTCTGCTTGGGCCCGTACTGCTACTGTCCAGCCCTATGCCCCTACTGCCTCTATCGCTGCTCCCACTCCTGCCCAGCCCATAGCTACAACAAACAGCTGTGTCTACGTATGCCCCTGCCCAAACCCCTGCCCCTGTTTCTTACCCTACTCCTGCCTAGGCCCAGCCTCAGCCTAACCCTGCCTCTGTCTCTGAACCTGTCTATACACCCGTCTATACCAATCACAATGCCCTTCTCCCATGGGGTTATCCCGATTTACAATTTAGATGATGATTTAGATTACAATTTACCTTATGACTTAGATTACGATTCCCCACCTTCCTCCCTCTCCCCTCCTCTTTCCCCCTCTTACCTCCCCATCTACACCCTGGCCACTGCCACGTCTCCCCCGCCCTCCCTCCGCTCCCTCATCCTCTCCGGGTCAGACGTGTACCTGGCCTCCCTCCCTCCCTTCGCTCCCTCATCCTCTCCGGGTCAGACGTGTACCTGGCCTCCCTCCCTTCGCTCCCTCATCCTCTCCGGGTCAGATGTGTACCTGGCCTCTCTCCCTCCCTCCGCTCCCTCATCCTCTCCGGGTCAGACGTGCACCTGGCCTCCCTCCCTCCCTCATCCTCTCCGGGTCAGATGTGTACCTGGCCTCTCTCCCTCCCTCCGCTCCCTCATCCTCTCCGGGTCAGACGTGCACCTGGCCTCCCTCCCTCCCTCATCCTCTCCGGGTCAGACGTGCACCTGGCCTCCCTCCCTCCCTCCGCTCCCTCATCCTCTCCAGGTCAGACGTGTACCTGGCCTCCCTCCCTCCCTCCGCTCCCTCATCCTCTCCGGGTCAGACGTGTACCTGGCCTCTCTCCCTCCCTCCGCTCCCTCATCCTCTCCGGGTCAGACGTGCACCTGGCCTCCCTCCCTCCCTCATCCTCTCCGGGTCAGACGTGCACCTGGCCTCCCTCCCTCCCTCCGCTCCCTCATCCTCTCCAGGTCAGACGTGTACCTGGCCTCCCTCCCTCCCTCCGCTCCCTCATCCTCTCCGGGTCAGACGTGTACCTGGCCTCTCTCCCTCCCTCTGCTCCCTCATCCTCTCCGGGTCAGACGTGTACCTGGCCTCTCTCCCTCCCTCCGCTCCCTCATCCTCTCCGGGTCAGACGTGTACCTGGCCTCTCTCCCTCCCTCCGCTCCCTCATTCTCTCTGGGTCAGATGTGTACCTGGCCTCTCTCCTCACCGGCCTCTACTACACCCTGCTCCATGCCGTCCACAAAGTCGTCCCCGGTATCCGGAACCTCCTGTTGACCAACTACGAGGCCTCTTCCTGCCTCGGCTCCTCCCTCTCACAGTTCGCCCTGGCCTTCTCCCGCTTCACAGAGGTCGTGACTTCGGTCTACCCCGCCCGGCCTGGATATGATTTGTCATGAGCTTACGAAACAAACAGTGCAAAAGTGTTGAAAAAACACTCCTTCTACACCATTTTACATTTACATTTTAGTCATTTAGCAGACGCTCTTATCCAGAGCGACTTACAGTTAGTGAGTGCATACATTTTCATACATCATCTAGATATGTGTGCAACAAAAGTTCAACATTCACAATTTCTGTCAACCCGTCTACGCACACAGTTTGACGCATACGCTCGACGGCAAAAGTGGAAATATTTTAACTCTGGTGGCAAGTCCCGTCTACTGTGGCGGCTGAAGGCATTCACCGCCAGCCTCAAAGGCATTTACCATCGTGCTTGCACAAAGGTCGCGCAACCAAGCAATAAAGTTGGTGTTTAACCTGGGTGCACCCGCACTCCCCTGGCTACTTTTTACTTGGATGGCGACTTCAGGTTTTGGGAATACATTGAAAAGTAACTTGACACTGTGCACATCTGCCAGCGCACATTTGGATTATAAGGACAAGAAGAAAATTGCATTGATAAAGGGAGCATACTGAATGCTGTAACGTTAGCTAACTACATTGCTAAGCAAGCAGGATTGGGTAATGAATGGAGTAACGTTAGCTAATGTTAACGTTAGATGAGCAATGCCAATTGCATGTATTATACATTAGCAGCGTGGCAGTTTCCCCAAAGTTTGGCATTGACTATGAACTTTACTTAGCTAGCTAGCTGTGCTTTGTTTGTGGAAGAATGTGGGATTGCTATATTTTGCCGGTGCATGATCCGTACATTCAGCTAACGTTAAAGCCTTGTAACTAGATAACGTTACTGGCTAACGTTAGTTGGCTATCTAACTGGCAATATCAGCCAAGAACGTTCGCTATCTTATTTGTGCTTACTACACGCAAGTGTCAAAGCCAACAGTTTACACAGATGACTTCAGCCATGTGAAAAACCTTCCATAGCTAAATATAGTTAGATTCCTTTGCTTGTAACTTGCCTCTCATCCGACTGGTGTTAGCTAGCTACTAGCACTGTTAATGCACAACCCAACTGCTTTGGTCCAGTTTTAGAACTCAGATTAGGCTGAAAAGATGTTAGCATTGTCAGAAATGCTACAACAATGTAGCACATCGTTGGTTCTTAATGGACAGAAATGAGCACGTGAGAGTGATAAATTATACATTTAATAAAAACTGTTGCACCTATAAAACGTATACAGTCCAAAAGGGTGGCAAGTCTAATGGTCACTTTATGGATGCTGTAGCCTCGTTTTAATCAGACATCTAGAATTTCAGCTAGGTTTGGGCAAATAAATAATGGCCAACAAAGACATTCTGTTAACAGAGCTATTAGATGGAAATGAAAACAAAAGAAGGTGGGGATGAAAGGGACATTAGTTTGGGATGAGAGAATTTGTGAGGGGAGATGGACTGACAGCATTCAATTTGGACATGTGCCACAGGGACAATGGGGAAGTGTACTGCAGTGACCCTGCATTGACTATGGTGTGGGTTTCCTATGAGTGTGTGTGTGGGTTTCCTATGTGTGTTAGCCCCTGTGTCTGTGTGTAGTTGTGTGTGGTGGTATGTTATAGAGAGATAAGAGCGCCGCTTGGGGTAAACACAACCAACAACCTCCTATTTTCCATCGGTGACTAATGATTGTAGCAGGGCTTCCCCGTTGTAGCAACTGGCCCCACTATTGCCTAATAAAAAATGTATTCTGACCACAATAAGCACTTCGCAAACTGTTGTAACATCAGTACTGCAGCAGTATCATCAATCTTCTGTTGTAGCCGGCCGCGACCGGGAGACCCAGGGGGCGGCGCACAATTGTCCCAGCGTCGTCCAGGGTAGGGGAAGGAATGGCCGGCAGGGATGTAGCTCAGTTGGTAGAGCATGGCGTTTGCAACGCCAGGGTTGTGGGTTCGATTCCCACGTATTAAAAAATTAAAATAATGTATGCACTCACTAACTGTAAGTCGCTCTGGATAAGAGCGTCTGCTAAATGACTAAAATGTAAAAATGTAAAATCCTGGTTCAATATACTGTGTAGGAATGTAAATTCAAATTCATTCCAGCCTGCCCCAGTTCACTTCTCTATGGTGCTCATGTGACTCTTGGGCATTGAGAAGTGTAAACACCCTCTGTTCTGTTCTTCAGCTAGGCCTAACTCCATTTGTCTGGCTTGCTGTGACTCATCTTTATAGTCTCTGTGCAGGTGATGGTCTGGCGCGCACACACACACGTCCTTTCGCCCTTTCTCATATGCAACCACACTGGGCTGAAGGGCAAAGAGTAAGTGTCACACTGACTTGGAAAGGCATTTTAAAGCACGCAGCCTACACCGGCTCTGACATTCGTCGGATGTGGCAGGGCTTGCAAACTATTACAGACTACAAAGGGAAACCCAGCCGCAAGCTGCCCAGTGACGCGAGCCTACCAGATGGGCTAAATGCTTTTTATGCTCGCTTCGAGGAAAGCAACACTGAAGCATGCATGAGAGCACCAGCTGTTCCGGACGACTGTGTGATCACGCTCTCCGTAGCCGATGTGAGCAAGACCTTTAAACAGGTCAACATTCACAAGGCCGCGGGGCCAGATGGATTACCAGTACTTGTACTCAGAGAATGCGCGGACCAACTGGCAAGTGTCTTCACTGACATTTTCAACCTCTCCCTGACCGAGTCTGTAATACCTACATGTTTCAAGCAGACCACCATAGTCTATGTGCCCAAGAAAGTGAAGGTAACCTGCCTAAATGACTACCGACCTGTAGCACTCACGTCGGTAGCCATGAAGTGCTTTGAAAGGCTGGTCATGGCTCACATCAACACCATCATCCCGGAAACCCTAGACCCACTCCAATTCGAATACTGCCCCAACAGATCAATTAATTAGTTATTTTTTTCACCTTTATTTAACCAGGTAAGCCAGTTGAGAAAAAGTTCTCATTTACAACTGCGACCTGGCCAAGATAAAGCAAAGCAGTGCGATAAAAACAACACAGAGTTACATATGGGGTAAAACAAAACATAAAGTCAAAAATACAACAGAAAATATAAAATATATATACAGTGTGTGCAAATGTAGCAAGTTATGGAGGTAAGGCAATACATAGGCCATAGTGCAAAATAATTACAATTAGTATTAACACTGGAATGATAGATGTGCAAGAGATGATGTGCAAATAGAGATAATGGGGTGCAAATGAGCAAAATAAATAATAATATGGGGATGAGGTAGTTAGGTGGGCTAATTTCAGATGGGCTGTGTACAGGTGCAGTGATTGGTAAGGTGCTCTGACAACTGATGCTTAAAGTTAGTGAGGGAGATAAGAGTCTCCAGCTTCAGAGATTTTTGCAGTTCGTTCCAGTCATTGGCAGCAGAGAACTGGAAGGAATGGCGGCCAAAGGAGGTGTTGGCTTTGGGGATGACCAGTGAGAGATACCTGCTGGAGCGCATACTACGGGTGGGTGTTGCTATGGTGACCAATGATCTAAGATAAGCAGGGATTTGCCTAGCAGTGATTTATAGATGGCCTGGAGCCAGTGGATTTGGCGACGAATATGTAGTGAGGACCAGCCAACAAGAGCGTACAGGTCACAGTGGTGGGTAGTATATGGGGCTTTGGTGACAAAACGGATGGCACTGTGATAGACTACATCCAATTTGCTGAGTAGAGTGTTGGAGGCTTTTTTGTAAATGACATCGCTGAAGTCAAGGATCGGTAGGATAGTCAATTTTACGAGGGCATGTTTGGCAGCATGTGTGAAGGAGGCTTTGTTGCAAAATAGGAAGCCGATTCTGGATTTAACTTTGGATTGGAGATGCTTAATGTGAGTCTGGAAGGAGAGTTTACAGTCTAACCAGACACCTAGGTATTTGTAGTTGTCCACATACTCTAGGTCAGACCCGCCGAGAGTAGTGATTCTAGTCGGGTGGGCGGGTGCCAGCAGCGTTCGATTGAAGAGCATGCATTTAGTTTTACTTGTGTTTAAGAGCAGTTGGAGGCTAAGGAAGGAGTGTTGTATGGCATTGAAGCTCGTTTGGAGGTTTGTTAACACAGTGTCCAATGAAGGGCCAGATGTATACAAAATGGTGTCGTCTGCATAGAGGTGGATCTGAGAATCACCAGCAGCAAGAGCGACATCATTGATATACACAGAGAAAAGAGTCGGCCCAAGAATTGAACCCTGTGGCACCCTCATAGAGACTGCCATATGTCCAGACAACAGGCCCTCCGATTTGACACATTAAACTCTATCTGAGAAGTAGTTGGTGAACCAGGCTAGGCAGTCATTTGAGAAACCAAGGCTATTTAGTCTGCCAATAAGAATGCGGTGATTGTCAGAGTCGAAAGCCTTGACCAGGTCGATGAAGACGGCTGCACAGTACTGTCTATTATCGATCGTGGTTATAATATCGTTTAGGACCTTGAGCGTGGCTGAGGTGCACCCATGACCAGCTCGGAAACCGGATTGCATAGCGGAGAAGGTACGGTGGGAATCGAAATGGTCGGTGATCTGTTTGTTAACTTGGCTTTAAAAAACTTTCGAAAGGCAGGGCAGGATGGATATAGGTCTGTAACAGTTTGGATCTAGAGCGGCAGCTTTCCAATCTCTAGGAATCTCAGACGTTACGAAAGAGAGGTTGAACAGGCTAGTAATAGGGGTTGCAACAATTTCAGCTGCTAATTTTAGAAAGAAAGGGTCCAGATTGTCTAGCCCAGATGATTTGTAGGGGTCCAGATTTTGCAGCTCTTTCAGAACATCAGCTGTCTGAATTTGTGTGAAGGATAAGCGGGGGGAGCATGTGCAAGTTGCAGTGGAGGGTGCAGAGCTGGTGACCGGGGTAGTAGTAGCCAGGTGGAAAGCATGACCAGCCGTAGCAAAATGCTTATTGAAATTCTCGATTATCGTAGATTTATCGGTGGTGACAGTGTTTCCTAGCCTCAGTGCAGTGGGTAACTTTTTGGAGATAGTGCTACAGGATGCACATTTCTGTTTGAAAAAGCTAGCCTTTGCTTTCCTAACTGCTTGTGTATATTGGTTCCTAACTTCCCTGAAAAGTTGCATATCGCTGGGGCTATTTGATGCTAATGCAGTACGCCACAGGATGTTTTTGTGCTGGTCAAGGGCAGTCAAGTCTGAGGAGAACCAGGGGCTATATCTGTTCTTAGTTCTGATTTTTTTTGAATGGGGCATGCTTATTTAAGATTGAGAGGAAATCACTTTTAAAGAACATCCAGGCATCCTCTACTGACGGAATGAGATCGATATCCCTCAAGGATACCTGGGCCAGGTCAATTAGGAAGGCCTGCTCGCTAAAGTGTTTTAGGGAGCGTTTGACAGTGATGAGGGGTGGTCGTTTGACCGCGGACCCGTTACGGACGCAGGCAATAAGGCAGTGATCGCTGAGATCCTGGTTGAAGACAGCGGAGGTGTATTTAGAGGGTAAGTTAGTCAGGATGATATCTATAAGGGTGCCCATGTTTACGGATTTAGTGGGTACAGTGGAGGTAAACCTAAGCGTTGGGTAACAATGAAAGAGAGCATCACTGGAGGCACCGATTGAGCCGGTCTCCGCGTGTATGGGGGGTGGAACAAAGGAGCTATTTGAGGCAGTTTGAGAGGGACTTGGTGCTTTATAGTGAAATTGTATAATAAGAACTAACTGGAACAGCAATAGGCAAGGCATATTGACATGGGAGAGAGGCATAAAGCAATCACAGGTGTTATTCGAGAGAGCTAAGACAACAACTGGTAATGGCGATGAAAGTTTGGGCTGAGGCTAAACAGATAAACAGGACAGTGTACCGTGTAAAGGAACAGTCCAGCAGGCATCAGCTGTGCAGCTGAGTGATCATAAGGTCCAGTGAACAGCAATATGTGAGTCCGAGAGCAGTTCGAATTGGTGCTACAGCACTGGCTAGCAGGAAGCAAGGCTGTTGTTTGCATGTGCTAGCGGGCCGGGGCTAGCAGATGGATCTTCGTGGTCGTTGCAACAGGAAGCCTGTTGAAACCACAAACTATTACGTCGGCAGACCAGTCGTGATGGATCGGCGGGGCTCCGTGTCGACTCTAGGAGGTCCAGTCCGGTTGACAGAGAGGTAGATAGCCGGGAGATGGGCCTGACTCGAGGCTAGCTCAAGGCTGATTAGCCAACAACAACATCCATTTGGTTGCAGCTAGTTAGTTGCGATTATCCGGAGTTAAAGGTTCAGGGATTCCGGCAGAAAAAACGATTATGTTCTGGGTCGATAACGCGCTGTGCATACAGTGCCGACTGGCCGTTAATAGTCCAGGCTAGAGCTGGCTGGTAGGTAGTGCAGGCCACGGACAATGGTGAAAAACCGCTAACGGTGGCTAATAGCAAGTAGCTAGTTAGCTGGCTACTCCCGTCCGGTAGATAGAGAGGTAGATAGCCGGGATATGGGCCTGGCTCGAGGCTAGCTCAAGGCTAACCGGTGCTTGCTTCGGGGGCAGTGGTGATTAGCCAACAGCAACATCCATTCGGTTGCGGCTAGCTAGTTGCGATCCGGTGTTAATGTCCAGTGATTCAGTTATTCCGGCAGAAAATCTGATGTTCTGGGTGAAAACCGCTAACGGTGGCTAATAGCAAGTAGCTAGTGAGCTGGCTAGCTAGTTTCAACTGGAGATTCTAGATAAAAGGTAAGTCAATAATAGAATCCGTTCCACATTGAGTGAGGCGGGTTGCAGGAAAGTATATTTAGTAGAAGGATGAAAAGTGTGATAGGGAAATATGTACGAAAAATACAAAATAAATACAAAAAACAGGCTATTTACACGGACACACACATAGTACACGACCGCACTGCTACGCCATTTCACGGTAAGGTCTACACCTGTTGTATTCGGCGCATGTGACAAATACAATTTGATTTGACTTGAAGATCAGAGATGGGCCTAGATAGATAGCTGGGGTGTATTCATTAGGAACCAAACCGAAGCAAATGGAACGAAACAGGGAGGGACCTACCTGAATTTGTCCAATACTTCTTTTCGCTGCATTACGTTTTCCGTTGCAAAACGTTTTGCTACGGTGTGCGAATAATGAATACACCTCAGGCTGGTTACATGATGCCAGTTCAATCAGGCTATACCACCATGACAGACAATGATATACAAGTGAGATGTTACATGACATGTTAGCTATGTTAGCTATACACACCTATTCTCATACGCCTATTGAAAACACTCCATTTTAACACAAGGTAGTGCATAAGAGTCATACTAGCAAGTAGACACACTACAGGTATGTGGACAGCTGCTCGTCGAACATCTCATTCCAAAATCATGGAGTTGGTCACCCCCTTTGTTGCTAAAACAGCCTCCACTCTACTGGCAAGGTTTTCCACTAGATGTTGGAAATTTGCTGCGAGGACTTGCTTCCATTCAGCCACAAGAGCATTAGTGAGGTCGGGCATTGATGTTGGGCGATTAAGCCTGGTTCGCAGTCTGCGTTTTCAATTCATCCCAAAGGTGTTTGAGGGGGTTGAGGTCAGGGCTCTGTGCATGCCAATCAAGTTCTTCCACACAGATCTTGACAAAGCATTTCTGTATGAACCTCGCTTTGTGCACGGGGGCATTATCATGCTGAAACAGGAAAGGGCCTTCCCCAAACTGTTACCACAAAGTTGGAAGCACAGAATCGTCTAGAATGTCATTGTATGCTGTAGCGTTAAGATTTCCCTTCACTGGAACTAAGGGGCCTAGCCCGAACCATGAAAAACAGCCCCAGAACATTATTCCTCCTCCACCAAACCTTACAGTTGGCACTATGCATTGGGGCAGGTAGCATTCTCCTGGCATCCTCCAAACCCAGATTCATCCGTCGGACTGCCAGATGGTGAAGCGTGATTCATCACTCCAGAGAACGCGTTTCCACTGCTCCAGAGTCCAATGGCGGCGAGCTTTACACCACTCCAGCCGACGCTTGGCATTGTGCATGGTGATCTTAGGCTTGTGTGCAGCTGCTTGGCCGTGGAAACCCATTTCATGAAGCTCCCGACGAACAGTTATTGTGCTGACGTTGCTTCCAGAGGCAGTTTGGAACTCGGTAGTGAGTGTTGCAACCAAGGACAGACGATTTTTACACGCTTCAGCACTCAGCGGTCCCGTTCTTGTGTGGTCTACCACTTTGTGGCTGAGCCATTGTTGCTCCTAGACGTTTCCACTTCACAATAACAGCAATTACAGTTGACCGGGGCAGCTCTAGCAGGGCAGAAATGTTACGAACTGACTTGTTGGAAAGGTGGCATCCTATGACGGTGCCACATCTTCAGTAAGGCCATTCTACTGCCAATGTTTGTCTATAGAGATTGCATGGCCGTGTGCTCGTTTCTATACACCTGTCAGCAACAGGTGTGGCTGAAATAGCCGAATCCACTCATTTGAAGGGGTGTCCACATACTTTTGTATATATAGTATAGTTTATTATCTAAAAGATGCCCTCTCCCCCCCCTTTTCTATTCTCTCTCCCACCAGGTGCGACGTTACCAGGTGCTGGTGTCTCTGATGTTGTCTAGCCAGACAAGGGACCAGGTGACCAGTGCAGCTGTGCAGAGACTCAGGGCTCATGGCTGTACGGTGGACAACATAGTCAACACTGACGATGACACACTGGGACAACTCATCTACCCTGTCGGCTTCTGGAGGGTAACACACACACTATACACTGCCTTCAGAAGGTATTCACACCCCTTAACTTTTTCCACATTATGTTGTGTTATAAAGTGGGATTAAAATATATTTAATTGTATTTATTTCTTTGTCAGTGATCTACACAGTACTCTTGTCACAGTGGAAGAAAAATTCTAATATTTTTGGAAAATCCATGAAAAATAAAACACTAATATATCTTGATTAGATAAGTATTCAACCCCCTGAGTCAATACATGTTAGAATCACCTTTGGCAGCGATTACAGCTGTGAGTCTTTCTGGGTAAGTCTCTAAGAGCTTTCCATACCTGGATTGTGCAACATTTGCCCATTATTCTTAAAAAAATTATTCAAGCTCTGTCAAATTGGTTGTTGATCATTGCTAGACAACCATTTTCAGGTCTTGCCATATATTTTCAAGGAGATTTAAGTCAAAACTGTAACTCTGCCACTCCGGAACATTAACTGTCTTCTCTATAAGCAACTCCAGTGTAGATTTGGCCTTAAGTTTTAGGTTATTGTTCTGCTGAAAGGTGAATTCACCTCCCAGTGTCTGGTGGAAAGCAGACTGAACCAGGTTTTCCTCTAGGATTTTGCCTGTGCTTAGCTCTATTCTGTAAATGTTTATCCTGAAAAACTCCCCAGTCCTTAACGATTACAAGCATACCCATAACATGATGCAGCCACCTCTATTACTTGAAAATATGGAGAATGGTACTCCGTAATGTGTTGTATTGGATTTGCCTCAAACATAACACTTTCTATTCAGGACAAAAAGTTAATTGCTTTGCCACATTTTTTTGCAGTATTACTGTAGTGTCTTGTTTCAAGCAGGATGCATGTTTTGTAATATTTGTATTATGTACAGGCTTCCTTCTTTTCACTCTGTCAGCTAGGTTAGTATTGTGGAGTAACTACAATGTTGTTGATCCATCCTCAGTTTTCTCCTATCACAACCATTAAACTCTGTAACTGTTTTAAAGTCACCATTGTCCTCATGGTGAAATTCCTGAGCAGTTTCCTTCCTTTCCGGCAACTGAGTTAGGAAGGATGCCTGTATCTTTGAAGTGACTGGGTGTATTGTTACACCATCCCAAGTGTAATGAATAACTTCATCATGTTGAAAGGGATATTCAATATCTGCTTTTTTATTTTTTACCCATCTACCAACCCAACTGACCTTCGTTGCAAGGCATTGGACAACCTCCCTAGTTTTTGTAGTTTAATCTGTTTGAAATGCACTGCTCGACTGAGGGACCTTACAGATAATTCTATGTGCGGGGTACAGAGATGAGGTAGTCATTCAAAAATAATGTTTAACACTATTATTGCACACAGAGTGAGTCAATGCACTTGTTAAGCAAATATTTACTCCTGAACTTATTTAGGCTTGCCATAACAAAGGGGTTGAATACTTTACTCAAGACATTTCAGCTTTTTATTATTAAATCCACATTATGGCCAGTGACAAAAAATCTCAATTTAATCCATTTTAAATTCAGGCTGTAACAAAAAACTCAAGGGATGTTAATTCTTTTCTGAAGGCACACACACTCTTACTACACCATGTCTTCCTTTGAACATGAGTATGAATAAAACCTTGACATGCCTTCTCCCCTACCCCCCTCCTCCAGACCAAGGTGAAGTTCCTTGACATGCCTTCTCCCCTACCCCCCTCCTCCAGACCAAGGTGAAGTTCCTTGACATGCCTTCTCCCCTACCCCCCTCCTCCAGACCAAGGTGAAGTTCCTTGACATGCCTTCTCCCCTACCCCCCTCCTCCAGACCAAGGTGAAGTTCCTTGACATGCCTTCTCCCCTACCCCCCTCCTCCAGACCAAGGTGAAGTTCCTGAAGCAGACGTCAGTGATGCTCCAGAGGGAGTTTAGAGGGGACATCCCTAACACAGTGGAGGGTCTGGTACGACTACCTGGAGTAGGACCCAAGATGGCTCACCTGGCCATGGACATCGCCTGGCACCAGGTCTCTGGTATAGGTAGGTATGGCTCAAATAGGACTACAAATCCCATACTCTAGTCTGCATGTTGTTATGTGGTGTGATGGGTCTGATTATGTGCAGAGTGGTAGTTGTAGTTCTTTTGTTGCTTTTATTGTGTGTATAGGCGTGGACACACACGTCCACCGTATCTCCAACAGGCTGGGATGGACGAGAGGTGGGACCAAGAACCCAGAGGAGACACGCAAGGCCCTGGAAGACTGGTTACCAAGGTGACAACACCACTTCCTGTCCCTCTGACCTATCAGGTCACTCGTTAACCAGTCACTGACCAATCAGATCCCTTGCAGCAGGAAAGGAAAACATTTGGCCTTGTGATTTCTGTCTGACATGATGATTTTGATGAAGACGGGGATGGTAATGATCTTCCTCTCTCACAGGGATCTATGGAGTGAGATCAACTGGTTACTGGTGGGGTTTGGTCAACAGGTGTGTCTACCTGTCAATCCTCTCTGCTCTGTGTGTCTGAACCAGCACAGCTGCCCCTCCGCCCACCAAGCCTCCCCAGCCAAGAGGCCTAAAGCTGGGTCACCTCGCTCCCCTAAGACCTCCAGGATGAAGCTGGAGCCTGGTTCTTTTGGTTTGGGGTTATCAGCCCCCTCCTCAGCCACACTGGTCAAAGAGGAACCTCTGGCTACCCCCCTCTCCCCTCCTCTGCTGCCCAGAAAAAGGAAGTCCAAAACATTCTCTACATGATACGACAGAAGGGGATGGCATCCCTATAGAGACCTTGTCCCAATTCTCTCTCCTTCCTCCCAAAGTGTGCACTTGTCACTTCCCTTGACTGATTTGAAATGACTGGTCCAAGAAATATGGCATTCAAACTTTCTTAGCGGGGACACAATTTTTTCAGACAATTTCTGTGGATCCCATTTATTTTGCCAGAATTTCTTACGACCCCACCCCAAAATAACTACAATCGATACATTTTTACATTACAAATTTGATTTTTACATATCTTATCAAAATGAAAAGACACCAATAAATGTACTAAATAAAATTGTATTTTTCAAATACGTTTGTATATTGTCCTATACAATAATCTGCACTTAAATGTTTTGTTCCCAAACCAAATAGCGACCTGACAACACCACTGATGTAATCCTTTCAGATCAACCAGAATGCCTAGGATGTGTAGGGGCCAGAGGTCCATTTGGGATTAACAATGGGAGTGTACGACACCCCTGGGACTCAGCGCCACGTGATTGAGTACCCCCAGGAGACTACAGGGGGGTTTGTTGACCACTGCATTACTGGATCCAACTGATTGTCACAGTCCTAATCGGAGTTTGCGCTTTTGGATAGAATGCACTTTATCATTCTACCCATAAGTGACCACTGAAGTGGGTGTGATATGTATCCATTGATCTTTTATATTTTTGATCAGTATATTAATGCAACGACGATTTTACAGTTCAAATAAGGAAACCAGTCAGTTGAAATAAATTAGGCCCTTAACTATGGATTTCACATGACTGGGCAGGGACACAGCCATGGGTGGGCATAGGCCCAGCCAATCAGAAATACTTTTACCCCACAAAAAGCCTTTACTACAGGCAGAAATACTCCAGTTTCATCAGCTGTTCGGGTGGCTGGTCTCAGACAATCCCGCAGGTGAAGCAACCGGATGTGGAGTTCCTGGGCTGGCGTGGTTACACGTGGTCTGCGGTTGAGGCCGGTTGGCCGTACTGGCAAATTCTCTAAAATGACGTTAGACACAGCTTATGGTAGAGAAATGAACATTCAATTCTGGCAACAGCTCGTGTGGACATTCCTGCAGTCAGCATGACAATTGCACGCTCCCTGAAAACTTGAGACATTGTGTTGCGTGACAAAACTGCACATTTTAGAGTGGCCTTATTGCCCCAAGCACATGGTGTACCTGTAATGATCATTCTCTTTAATCAGCTTCTTGATATGCCCCACCTGTGAGGTAGCTAATCTTGGCAAAGGAGAAATGCTCACCAACAGGGGTGTAAACAAATGTGCACAAAATGAGAGAAGCTTTGTTTATGGAACATTTCTGGGAGCTTTTATTTTAGCTCATGAAACCAACACTTTACATGTTGCGTTTATTTTGGGTCACTATAGTTTAAGAATTCCTGAGCACTGTCCAATCAAGAGGGCTTGTTACATCTTCTCTGAACATCTGGCATTGTACTGGTCTCACTGTATGAGTCTCACTGCTTTTCAAAAGGTAGTGTTTTCACAGCACACTCTTGTTCATAATCCCAGTATGTTTGCATACATTACTTATATAGTTTAGGGAGTCGTGTCGTCAACAGGGCTCTATAGTACCCGTTGTGTGCGTCTGTCATGTCGATGGTTCTGTTCATCTAATTGATTTGTGAGGTATGTACCACCACATCTTTCCTGTGGTGTCCACACCATTAGGAGATCATCTAATGGAGATTAAAGTCAGGACTCATTCCTTTGGAAGACTTGTTTATATCATTTAGTGGTAAAATGTTCTGAGCCCATTCCCTGATGAGGAATAAAAGAACCTACAGGGGTCCATGACAGACTGCAGAACAGAAAGTGAGAAACCAAAGCTGTGTACAAAATTGAGCGATAACATTTCCACCTTTGTAGAGCTGGCATCCCTGCTTAACAGCAGCTCTGGAGGTATAGTTTGTTAACTGTCCCCAATGACATTCTGCTCTGTCCATGAGTTCCCAGTACCCCCTGTGGCAAGGCCAGGTTCCCTCCAGTAGTAGAACCACTGCCTTACAATATTCACCTCAGCACTCACTGCTTATGTTAGAAATTGCGTAATTCAAATCTGGTATTGGAATAAGAATCAAGAGATCTTCAATCCAAGCTTAATTTATTATATGCAAAATGTATGTATGATAAGTATGAAGGTTCGTATATACGGGTCCACTGAAATACCACGCAGGGCACTCAGTTAACTAATCCATTGTTCTAAGTTCTTCTTAAAATACTCTGACAGAAATCCTCCACTTCTTCTGTTGGCCAACCAGAGCAAAGGACTGAGTGTGGTCCAGCCAATCCGTTGGCGCAGGGGTGGGCCCAACTCCTCGGCACTCCACTTGTTACTAGACATAGTTGCTATGATAACCTGCGGAGTCAGCACCCAGAAAGACATCATCCCACTGTACTCCATGTTCAAGGACAGTTTCACAGAATACAAAGAGAGTGTTCGCATCTGCAAGAAACACAAGTCTTATCTGTCCTACCCCCAACGTTCCCCACCCTGTTATGTGAAACAATCCATATCAGTACAGTGCTCCTCATTAATGCATTCCTTCCAAGCTATCCATCACATACAGATCCAATTATGAGAAAAATAAAACCCAACAATTCCCTCTTTTGACGCCCTCTAGGGTGTCACTCATTAAAATACAATACAAACAAAAATAAACACTTTTATTAATAGACAATTTGATAATAAAAATCCTTCAATCTACACCCAACTTGCAAACTGTTACCAGTCATCAAAGAAGTTCAAACCTTCACATAAGGAAAGACAAACATTCACATGGTTAACTTGATTAATAAAGCATAAAACACAGGATCATCCCTAGAGTGAACACAAAACACAAGATTATTAAAACTCTAGGGTGTGATTAAAGATTTTTAAAGGGAAATTTTAGAATTCCCTCTTTTGACACCATTTATGGTGTCACTCTAAACAGAGTATAATCACCCTTAAGAATAACAGGATATGGAAATTAAATCACAACATTTAATGTTAATAAAAAATAAATAATTTTAACCCTCTATTCCTCCCCTACACCTAACATGTACTGAGTTGGCTACCAGCCACCCAGGAATCCTTTACCTTCACATCAGGAAGAATAAACAATCACAGTGGTTAGTAAAAACAGAAGGTAATAAATGAGCAAGAACTGAAAATAAATGCGTGTATGTATTTTACTAGGCAAACCATGGATCATCCAGCTTGGTCTCAGAGTCAGTAGCAGAGTCACCCGCATCATCCTGGGCCGGTAACAACAGCATCATACCTGACGCCTGCACCACTCCTACCACTGACCTCCTGAGACAGGGGACGATGCAAGCAGCACAACACATTAACAGCAAAAACACAATTACTAGGTTCAGAAATCCAGTAACCACCATAGAAGAGTACTCACCAAACCAGTCACTCAGCCAGGAAATAAGACAACATCCACAAAGAACAAGTATACCCATAGAAGCTATAACTTCACCCAGAATAGTCACAACAATAGTTTTCCATTTACCAAATATGTTATCAAACCAACCGTTTATGGAGCTATCAATACCAGAGTTCTCAACCAGTTCGTTCGCCAGCGTGGTGATGGTCACTCAAGCGCTTTGGTCACGGGCCCGTCCGGTGCTATATTGTTGGAGATGAAAGTACAACACATATATCCAAACAGAACACAAACCCCGTCCCGCTCAGCCAAAAGCATATCTAAAGCTATTCTATTCTGCCATGTCATTAAGCTAGTTGCCGCTGTCTGCTCAGCTAATCCCTTTATTGCATCACGAGTGTGGTTTATAAATCTTTTGTTGGTTATATTAAATATAATTTATCCAATCTACATTTTTATTAATTGTTGACCAACAGAAAATACTTGATTCAAACCCAGCTGCGATCTGATTCCTAGCTTTGAATTGTTCTGGAACCCCTCGGGGTACTCCTATCCCATCAATATATATATATCCTTTCATCAAAGGATTCCTGGAGGAGGTCCTACTTTCTACGTGACAACTCACCAGTCTCTGACACGTTTGATTGTTTACATATGTAGTTGAGTTCACAATCAGTTATCACCACACATCCATCAGATGTCAGCACGTGTCTGGTTTTGGGTCCTAAAATCCTCTGGCTGCAACAAAGAGGAGAGATTAGTCATGGTCTCTTTAGTTGTGATATTCTCTGTGTGGGAGCAGGAGCTAAGATGCCCTACCCTGTATCCTATCTTATTAGTCCTAGAAAAACAATAAGAATCCCCTGTGACTTCAAACTGAGGCAACCCAGGTCGGGACGACCCCGTTATCGGGCTTGCATGGAGGATAAACCTGACAGAGAGTCAAAGCCTGTCAAGGGGAACGGAGTAGTTGTCAACCCTGGTTTGGCTGTCCCACAGGCAAAACAGTCCTCTTTAGACATAGTTTTTTTGCCGTATACTGAATCCATTCCAACCACAGGTTAAGATTTCTATACCCCGTTTCCACCTGTACTACTTCCTCCAGGTCTATAGTTTTGCACTATCTTTACCACAGCCCCGGTCTCACTACCTCCCTCAGAGAGGTTTACTCTAGAATTTCCCCTTTCCCTACGTCTAGCTGTCTCCTATGCCTTTTCAACTTGTGTTAGGTTAACTACTACTTCTGGCTGAAACAGGAGGGTCCGTGTGTGTTAGGAATATGGCCCCCACAATCAGACAGCTACCTACCGTCGGGAGACCTGTGAATCCCCACCCTTGCCCTGAGAACATGTCAGATGCCAGAGGCCAACCCATTGCTTTACCTTCTATCGAACTCACACAGGGATGATCAGACAGGGTAAGGGAATCTTCGTTAAGGAGCCAACCCCCGGACCCTTGTGGTTATCGGATCTTTCTCCTAACTCTGTGTTTGTTCGTCAGGTGTAGCTGGTTTTGCCTTTTTACAGTGTGTGACATGCACCCAGATGGATCTCTCAGCTATTCTGCTGGCAAAGGCAGTACTTGGTAGGGCCCTTC